GCAGCTTCTGAAAAATGAGGTTCTTTTGATTTGGTGTTTTAGTTTGAAAGACTGTTTCAATCAAAGCTTCTGATTTGGCCACTGAGGATCTTGACTTTCTAGAAGGCCATCTGATGATAAAAAAGCTCCCTGGAAGAAATGGCACCAACATATTTGGCCCATTTATTATGGTCTATTTACTAGCATCTTCCTAGTATGGGAACATCAGGTCACTCAGAAACAAACTTCTAATATCCTCACTCTTAAACTATCAATTCCCAAGCTATCCCCAGATGGGAAACAAAACAACCACTTCCCAAATACATGGTACAACACAGAAGAACAAACCCATCAGGACAGGGCTTAGCTGTCCATTTGCATCTGAAAGGCAAGGGTCACTCTTTTGAAGACAGCAATGTCCTCATTCTGGACAGAGAGGACCACTAGTTTGAAAGAGGGATGGGTCAAAGAGGCCATCTATGTTAAAATTGAACAGCCCTCTCTCAACAGAGGGGGCGGGATATGACACCACCTATCTCCTGTCTACAACACAGTCCTTTCAGCAGTCCCACATCCATTTGCCCTCTGATTCAGGTGACACTGAGGATACAGCTAAATCCCCAAGTGGCCTCAACAACTCTCAGAGATGTAACGACGGATCCTCAGAGTGCTAATGAACTGATGACTGCAAAGAATATAAATACTTCCATTCCCCACCAGTCAATAGGACTGAAGGAACTTCTTGGTTGAGAAGTGAAATGTTTTTACAGGAAACAAACAAGCAAACAAACAAACAAGAAAGTCCAGTTGCCTTTGGAAAAGCACTTTTAAAAAGGTAAAGGTAAAGGTTCCCCCTCGCACATATAGTGGCACATATTAATCAATCAATCACAGGACTCACTGGGTGAGTTTGGGCTACTCTCACCCAGCACAATGTTCACCACAGGCCTATTGTTGTAAGGTAAAGGTAAAGGATCCCCTCGCACATATGTGCTAGTTGTTCCCAACTCTGGGGGTCGATGCTCATCTCCGTTTCAAAGCTGAAGAGCCAGCGCTGTCCAAAGACGTCTCCGTGGTCATGTGGCCGGCATGACTAAATGCCAAAGGTGCACGGAACGTTGTTACCTGCCCACCAAAGATGGTCCCTATTTTTCTAATTGCATTTTTTACATTCTTTCGAACTGCTAGGTTGGCAGAAGCTGGGACAAGTAACAGGAGCTCACCCTGTTACGCAGCACTAGGAATTTGAACCGTTGAACTGCTGACCTTTCGATCGACAAGCTCTGCATCTTAGCCACTGAGCCACCACCTCCCTAACACTTTTGGGTATCCCCAAATCACAGTACTGAAAGTCCACAGCACTGATTTTCCACAGCATTACAGCAGCCTATATTTGATATTTAAAGAATGAAGAGAGTGCATTGAATAGGATGAATGGAATAGCAATATGTAGCAATACTCTATGGCTATACTACATATATGAGCTAGAGTGAGGTTTGAGAACTTCAGTTCTTCCTTCTCTTTTCCGTATGAGGAAATCAAAACTACCTTTCACTAGTTTTAAATTAACTGCAGCTTGCTAGGACTTCTAAACTTTACTTTACTTTTACTTTTTTACTTTTATTTGATTTGTATACCGCTCTACTCCCGAAGGACTCAGGGCGGTGAACAGCCAACAATAAAATACATACATACAAAATTTAAAAAACAGAAATAAAATTGAATTAAATAGTTTGGCCCAGACAGATTAAAACCCCAATCAATTTAAAACAGATTTAAACTTTGAAAATTAAAAAATATTAAAGATATTAAAATATTAAAATTGTTTAAAAAGAGGGCGAAAGTTAGGCCAAACTTAAATCTGTTTAAACCAGATGTGCAAAAAAACTTAAATCTGTTTAAACCAGACATGCACCAGATTGTTGTCTCCTAAGATCAAATTCAGCACAAGCACCCAAATATTTGTGGCCTGATTTCTCACATTATTTTATGAAGAAAATAATGAAAATAGGAGGACTCTTAATGGATTTGTGTTGATTTAGAGTCAATGATGAGGCTTCATTATTTGCTAATAGATAAAGGATGAGGTATGGTATGAAGAGTTTCTAGGTTAAAATGTTAGAGGAGGTGACAAGTTATTGAAAATCTTGGTGCCAATTATTTTAATGAACGTGGAACTCATCTCTTTTTATATATTGATTTTACTTTTTTCTTCCTTCCCCTCTTTTTGTCTCTATTTACTTTTGCTTTTTTGTATCTTTGTTAGCTTGTATTAGGTTTTTTTTTTAATCTTTGTATTTTTAAACCTGAATAAAAAACTATGATTAAAGAAAGGAAAATAGGAGTGTTAAATTCCCAGTGAAATTTCAGCTGCTTTGGAGAAAAACGTTCCATATATCAAAGGGTTGATACAAGGCTGATTGAATGTTTGGATGTCATTGTTAAATGGAAGCTCAAAATGGCTGCCTGGCATAAGTATGGGTTTTATGATGAGGCACAGAACTCCAAAAGACCACTTTGATTCAGGGAGTGCATGAAGCAATTGGAACACCCTTTTAGATAAAACGCTGAAACAGAATCAGTGTTTTTGGCTGAAGCACTGGAGCGGAGTTGCCACACAATTTCAAATCCAGATGGCAAAAGGATCCATTGCACTGTTCCGTGTTCTCCATCTCAAAATGGACAATCAGACTGAACCAACCCACTCTGGTATTTCAATATGCTTAATTTCTCTGAATCAAAAGGATGTTTCAGTTCAGATTTCTTTGGACCAAAGCAAAGTTGGACCACCGCACATCCTCAATATGAATCACAGCATCTTCCAATCTTCCCAGGTGCAGTTCTAAGCTGGCCAACTTAAGGCTGCAATTTATTTGAAAATGGTTGACTGTGGAATCATAATGTTGGAGGGAGACATTAAGGCAATTCAGCCAAAACACCTGCTCACAGGCAGGCATGGAAATTAAACTCTGGCAGATGGCTGACCAGACACAGCTTAAATATCCTATTTGTTGGGAATCCTTTGTAAATAAAAATGGTAGGCCTTCCAATCACTCTCTTGTATTTTTTATAAAGGATTCCCATGCTGTAATCCCCCTTCACGTTTTTATTTTGTTCTATACTCTGCCTGGTATCCACTTTGATGGTCTCATATACTGTATATCTGTATCTGTATCTATATCTGTATTTGTATCTATCTATCTATCATCTATCTGTCTGTCTGTCTGTCTGTCTGTCTGTCTATCTATCTATCTATCTATCTATCTATCTATCTATCTATCTATCTGACTCACTGGAGAAGAGCCTAATGCTGGGAACGATTGAGGGAAAAAGGAGGAGGAGATGGCACAGAGTGAGGTGGCTGGATGGAGTCACTGAAGCAGTAGGCGTGAGCTTAAATGGTCTCTGGGGGATGGTAGAGGACAGGAAGGCCTGGAGGAATGTTGTCCATGAGGTCACGATGGGTCAGACACGACTTCGCGACTTACAACATCTATCTATCTATCTATCTATCTATCTATCTATCTATCTATCTATCTATCTATCTATCTATCTATCTATCATCTATCATCTATCATCTATCATCTCTCTCTATCTCTCTCAAATATCTCTCTATCTCTATCCCTATCCCTATCTATTTCTAAAATGCCATCAAAGCCACCCAGAGCACAGAACTCAAAGAACTTCTTCTTCTTCTTCTTCTTCTTCTTCTTCTTCTTCTTCTTCTTCTTCTTCTTCTTCTTCTTCTTCTCTTCTTCTTCTTCTTCTTCTTCTTCTTCTTCTTCTTCTTCTTCTTCTCCTCCTCCTCCTCCTCCTCCTCCTCCTCCTCCTCCTCCTCCTCCCCTTCCCCTTCTCCATCATCATCATCATCATCATCATCATCATCATCATCAGTATTTTAAACATTCCATTCAGTTAGCTGCAGCATATGCTCATGAGTTATTGTATTATGAGAACTTTTTCTCTATTGGCTTCCTCTAGTGCTTTGACATGAATTTAAAGTCAAAAGTTTGTGTGTGTACGTGTGTATGTGACTTTTATTATTTTCACAGATAAGGCAATGAACATATCCATCACACCTTTCTCCTCCTATTTTCCCCTCAACAACCCTGTGAAGTGAGTTGGGCTTTTATGGCTAAGCAGAATTACAACTCACAGTGTTCTGCTTTCCATTAGCTTTTGTAACTGAAGTACTACTACCCAGACCTTTTATGTCTGTATATGTAACTATAGATGGAAATAAACAATTGCACACCAAAGAGAAAGAAATGCCCCCTTCATTCACTTTCATTGAATGGAATGTAGATGTATACACATTGATACTCTTCTTCTTCTTCTTGTTGTTGTGCCATATCCATGATCGGACGTTGGCGATCATGTTGGCAATCCTATTTTTGTCAACAGCTGCATGAAAAAGTGCTGCTAAGTTTTGTCCAAACCAGTCCCTTAGGTTTTGAAGCCATGGTTTTTTTTTTTTTCTTCTGCCTGGACCTCATTTGCCTTCAATCTTTCCCTGGAGGATTAAGTGAAGGATGCCGTATTTTTCTGGGTGTCGCATCACATGTCCGGAATATTCTAACTTTTGCTTTTTAATGGCTTTGATGATTTCCCTTGGCTTTCCCAGGCAGCTTATCACATCCTCATTTGTGATTTTGTTAACCCAACTTATACGTAATAGCCGCCTGTAAATCCACATTTCAAATGCTTCTAGTTTCTTCAAGTGGTTTTCTGTCAGAGACCAACTCTCTACTCTGTATTCATACTATGTAATAGAGCTAAATTAAAATGGGATAGCTGTGCGCCTATTCTGGCATTTTATGAGTGAAAACAGAGAGGAATGGCTTATTTTAGCAACAACAAGTAGGTCTTGGTATAGATATTGAGAAGCTGACTTCAAAGGCTTGGGTGTTAATGAACCACCGGAGAATAAAATGTAAAAGTTTTAAAGTTCGTTTTTTCTCATCTTTAAATGAATATGTTTGAAGGGAAATGAGATGACTCATTATCATGCCAAGAATATATTTGTGGTTTCTGTTTGTGATTTATTTAGAATAATGTTCTGAGTATATTTGACTCACAGCTAGGTTTTCTTCCCCCTTGAAGTTAAGCCCTGTTGTTAACAGTGGGCCTGAGCATGTTTCCCCTCTTCCTCTAAATAAAGAAAATAAGAATATAAAGGAAATAAAGGGGGGAAAAAACAGAATCATATTAGCAAATGACAATCAAATGGATAGATGTAGAGTTGCTGAACCAGTTGTAATGTAATCTATGAGAAACTGGGCTGTTGAAAACCAAAATAGGCACTTGAGTCAAAATCCAATTAGTTCAAAGTTTATTTCATTTTCTTTAAAACATAGGTTCTGTGTGCTCAGCCTAATATGCTTTCAAAGTAGTTAATGGCCTGTGGAATCATATAACCATAAAAACAGGAAAATATGGAATATAATTAAGGCAACACAATTGTAATGCCATGCCTTATACATCCAGAGAACGAGTTACAACCTTCTTCCTGTCATCCGAAGTATTTGGTAAACAAAATGATAATTATCTTTTTCAAAATTATGAGAGCTTTCCAGATAACTTCTTTGAAATGGGTTTTGAAAGAATGGAGGTGCCTTCAGAAAAAAATATGCATGTTTTAAAAAAATTACGAAGGCTGATTCCACATTTTGAGGGTCTTTTGAAAAGATTTAGCAGCAATAGGTAGAATACCACAAAGTGTTTTCTTTCTAAATGTGAAGACAATGTTGTATTTGTGGAAAACAAGGTTTGCTTTAGGTTCTTCAGACCAAAGAGAAGTTAATTTTAGTTTTATTCTGTTCACCATCAAAATACAGAATATGGATTCAAATAAATTATCTATCTTACTCCTCTTTTTTTAACATTACAGGAATTTGAGATGGTTTGAAATTTGAAATTTCAAATATACCACCAAATCAAAAGTCTCGGAGCAGCAAAAGGGTAATTGTAGAGTTGGATTCTGATTCAGAATAGATTTAAATCTCATTCCAAAAAAGGAAAATTTAAACACTTATAGTCAATGAGGAGTAGTCAATACGTACATCTAAAAATCAGACCTATACAACTATATTCCTACTCAGGGGTGGGCTGCTGGGGGTTCACAGGGGTTTGGGAGAACCTCTAGCTAAGATTCTGTGTAGTTCGGAGAACCCCCAAATCCCACTCCTGGCTGGCCCGCCCTGCCCACCCCACCCCTCCCAGGACTCCCCAAGTGGCCCATTTTGGATGCAGGTAAGTGTAGGGCATGCACAGATGCTCAGAGAGGGCGAAAAATGGGCCTACCGGAAGTTCGGGAAGGTTGGAAATGGCCCAGAGGGCCTCCGGAGCCTGGGGAGGTCATTTTCGCCCTCCCGGAGGCTCAAGGAAAGCCTCCGAGCCCCGGGAGGGCAAAACCCCCTCTCTATGGTTCAGGAGGCCGACTAGGCCATGCCCACCATGGCCACGCCCACACAGCAACCGGGCAGAGAACCTCTTGCTAAAATTTTTGAAGCCCACCCCTGTTCCTATTTGAGGGTCCACAAGGGAAGGACCTGAAAGTTACAGTCAGGATCAAATAATAAACTATTGACTCTTATAAAATAAACTCTCATACAATATGGAGGGAGTGGAATATTAGAACACAGAATCAATCATAAGCTGGAAGGGACCTTGGAGGGCTTGCCCCCCCCCCCCCCCCCCTTTCCCCAGGCAGGAAACTTTATTCCATTCCAGCCAAATGGCTGTCCAGCCTCTTCAAAATCTTCAGTGCTGGGGCACTCATAATTTCCAGAGAAAGTTGTTCCACCAATTAATTGTTCTCACTGTCAGGAATTTGCTCTTTATTTCCAGGTTGACTTTCCTTCTGACCAAGCTTTCACTCCTTCCTGCATCTCTCCCTCTCCTCCCCATTCCTCCCACACCTTCCCTCTCCCTTCCTCTCCCTTTTGTGTGGTAACCTGCATGGATGAAGTCACCAAAACAGTAGAATTCCCTCCGCTCTTTATTCCTATTCGCCCTTCTCTTCCCTTCCCTGTCCCATCCCCTCTCTTCCCCTTACTTCTCCTTCTCAGCCACTCTGCATTCCCCTCCCCTTCCTCTCCCACCTCACTATCACCCTCCCACTCCAGCCTTTCACCTTATCCGCCCCTCCCCTCATCCTCTCCCTCCCACTTACCTCTGATAATAACCAGCATGAAGTCATAAAGACTTTAGAATTCTCCCCTCCCTACTTTTCCTTCCCATCCATTCTCCTTCTGTACTTTCCCCTCCTCTCTCCTATCAAATCCACTCCACCTTTCCATCTGCCTCCCCTTCCCCTTCCTCATTCCCCCTGCCTTCCCTTCCTCCTATCCTATCCCCTCCTCTCTCCCTCTCCTGTTCTCCCCCTTCTCCTCTCTCCTCACCCAACTTCAACTTTTTGTTCCCTTCCCCCTCCTCCTTCCTTCCCTTCCTGTCCCACTCCATTCCCCCTTCCTCTCCCCTCCCCTCCCCTCTCCTATCCATCCCACTCCACCTTTGTCCCTCTTCCCTTCCTCATCTCCATTTCCCTCCCATCTCTCTCCCCCTTTCCATTTTACTTTTACTTCTCTTCCTCCCCTTCCCCTTTCTGTTCCCCTTCCTGACTCTCAAGCTCACGGTCACCCTTTCACCCTCATCCTAACCCCCACACCCTCACTTACCTCTCTACAAAAAGAGGGAAGGTTCCTTAGAGTCCAGGAGCCCTACTGAAGAGCAACTTACTTCTAGGAAGGCATCTTCACTCTGATAACAACTTACAGTAACTGATACTTTAGCCTGCTGGGATGAAGTCACAAAGCCATTAGAATTCCCAAGGAGATGACCAGCCTCCCTCATCCTCCTATCAAAGGTTATCTGCTCCTCCTCCTTGTGATGTACACCATGCCAGGCAACTGTCTCTAGGGAGCTACCAAACCAATCACTAAAGCTGCCTATTTCTAATTTTTTACACAGAAGGCATAGTTCTTCGGGTGTAGAGGTCCTCTTGTCATGAAGCACTGCTAAACACCTTAATAATCTTCTGTTTGGTTTCTAAAGTCAGACTTGGAATAAAATAGGAATAGGAATAGGAATAGGAATAGGAATAGGAATAGGAATAGGAATAGAGAATAGAATAGAATAGAATAGAATAGAATAGAATAGAATAGAATAGTTGGAAGGGACCTTGGAGGTCTTCTAGTCCAACCACCTGCTTAGGCAGGAAACCCTACACCACTTCAGACAAATGGTTACCCAACATCTTCTTAAAAACTTCCAGTGTTGGAGCATTCACAACTTCTGGAGGCAAGTTGTTCCACTAGTTAATTGTTCTAACTGTCAGGAAATTTCTCCTTAGTTCTAAGTTTCCTTGATTAGTTTCCACCCGTTGCTTCTCGTCCTACCGTCAGGTGCTTTGGAGAATAGCTTGACTCCCTCTTCTTTGTGGCAGCCCCTCAAATACTGGAACACTGCTATCATGTCTCCCCTGGTCCTCCTTTTCATTAAACTTTTCATTAAACATTAAACTTCCATAAATGGAAGCAGACCTGATTGTGTTCGGAAGCAGACTTGACCGTGGATGCAGACTTGACTGTATTTAGGATAAACTTTGGAAGCAGGCTTGACTGTTTAGGATAAATCTTGAAATATATCTGTCCCACTAGAATCAACAGGACTGAATCTATCAGATCTCACTGATTTTAATGGCATGACTTTGACAAATTCTGAATCCAGCCCATTGTCTGGAAAGACCAATAGATCTTGAACCAAATTATTCACCCTATCATATTTAGACCCGTTGCAATATATATTCTGCATTATTTACTGTTTGAGGAAAGGGGGGGTGGAATCTTGTAAAGTTATTATTTTCTTCTCCCATTGTTTGAAGTTTCTCTCTTCCAAACACCTATCGGTCACCTTGCCGTATTTGATCAGTGAAGCTCCTTCTGTTTTCCTCATCAAAGAGGCAGAGCACTAGAAACAATTGAGAAATGCCACTGAAAATGGACTATGGGGGACAAATTAAACTGCATGTAGGGAAGATGCAAACCTATCCCAGGGGTCCAATCTGGTTGTGTGCATCAGTGACAAGAGGGTCTCCTGCTTGAGCAGTGGGATGGACTAGAGCAGTGGTTCTCAACCTTCCTAATGCCGCGACCCTTTAATACAGTTCCTCATGTTGTGGTGACCCCCAACCAGGGGTGGGTTCTAAATTTGTTTACTACCAGTTCTGTGGGCGTGGCTTATTTTGTGGGTTGGCTTGGAGGTCATGTGACTGGGTGGGCGTGGCTAGCTGGTCATGTGACCGGGTGGCCATGGCTATGTGTATAGGGACTACTCAGAGGGCTGAAAAAAAGTCATTTCTGACAGGTCCTCGCACTTTTCTGGTCCTCACACTTATGACCATCCTCACATTTATGCCTGTGCAGCATTCTTAACAACCATGTCACTCATTTCACAACTGCTTCTCTTCACCATGGTGACAAGATAGGGCAAAAACGTAAATTGTGAGGACAGTCGTAAGTTCGAGGACTGGTCAAAAGTGCTTTGGCAACCCCTGTGAAATGGCCGTTCGACCCCCAAAGGGGTCGCGACCCCCAGGTTGAGAACCGCTGGACTAGAGCAAGGGTGGGCAAATGTGGCTCTTTTACAACCTATGGACTTCATCTCCCAGAATTCCTGAGACAGTCAATTCCTGAGTCAGCCAAGCTGGCTCAGGAATTCTGGGAGTTGAAGTCCACAGGTTGTAAAAGAGCCACATTTGCCCACCCCTGGACTAGAGGGCTTCCAAGCCTCTTCCAAGTCTGTTATTCTGTTATATGCTGAAGAAATTTGGCACATAGTCAGGTTTAAGTCACTTGATTAATTGCAACACTGGATCACAAGTGGTACACACTGCTTCTACCAATGAGTTATTCTTTAAAGGGCATGTTTACCTAAAGCTTTTAGGTACCTTGCTAAATTCCAAGATAGTTTGGATGTTTTCTTTAATAATGATATTTTAATGACTATTCTAAAAAAAAAAAAAAAGAATTATGTGTCAATGAAGAAAAGATATAGTATATAATTACTGTGTTATTACATTCTAATAATTGTATGTGTGTGTGTGTGTGTGTGTGTGTGTGTGTATATGTGTGTGTGTGTTTTAATCAATACTGATACATTGGTCTGTGGTCATTCTCCCTACTAAGAAATAGAATGGAAAAAGCTTTCTACTATGATAGATAAAGTCTAATTGTCTTTTGGTTATTATTGATAGCTGCCATCAGGGATGAAATCTACTTACCTTCCCTACCGGTTCGGAAGTACCCGCGCAAACCCTCTGCACATGCACAAAGCCTTCTGCGCATGCGCAGAGGATAAAAACAAGGTTACTTCCTGGTTAAAACCAGGAAGTAATGACGACCAGGCGGGTGGGCGGAGTCTCGTGCTGCCATCACTATCAGTTCTCCGAACCACCCGCCGCCATCGCTACCAGTTCGGCCGGTAATAATAGCATTTCACCCCTGGGTGCCATCAATAAAACCTATGGCACAACATTTCAAGACACTGAGCTTGTCGATCAGAAAGGTCGGCAGTTCGGCAGTTCAAATCCCTAGCATAGGTCTCCTGCGTGAGCAGGGGGTTGGACTACATGACCTCCAAGGTCCCTTCCAACTCTATTACTTTTACTATAATGTAACACATGACCTGCAGGTTTCTGTTGCCTCTCCTGGATCTCATGTAAAACATCTTTGTTGGATGACCATCACGTTCTTGCATTAACGAAGAGGGAAAATGCTGAGTTGTTAGCAACTACTTTTGAAAGCTCTTTTGAAACTTGTTAAAAGAAGTATTTGATAGACTGTCAATAGTGTCGATGGAGATAAATCTTTTGGGTGTAAGCTAAACTCCTCGCGGTTTCTGTTAACTAGGAGGAGGATAGGTGGGAATTTCCGTCACTCAAAGCCATAGCTTGTTAGATCTTATGTGCATGAATGTAACCAAGAGGAAAAAAAAATACATATGGATTACAGGATGAGAGGAAACATAAAAATATAAATAGGAAACTGGAAAATTATTTCTCTCCTTTACATTGGCAATGTAATACAATGAAATAAACTTTGCGTGAATTTGTAAGCAAGTAATTGTAGTTTCTTGGGTAATATTTAATTGAAAGAGCTCTTTATGAGATTACCTAAGGTCAGAGGAGTAAGGGAGAGAACTAGAGAATGGATGAACATTATTTTTCTAGGCTTTATATTAGCATTTGTTTACTTTATTAGTTTTATCTCTATGCAAACATGTTGCGAGGACATAAACAAGAGTTTGCCTGCATGTTATGGCTGCATTCATAAAATAATGAGAGAAGTTGAGAGACGAGAAGATCCCACTCACCTACAACTCCATCCTGGAAGAACTGTGAGTGAGTTGTTGGGTTTCGATAAAAAAATATCCTGCTGTGTTCAGATAACACTCAAGAACAAGCTAAAATAGTTGGACCTCCCCTTTCAATCACGGGTTGTAAGAATATAATTATCAGAACCTCGAAGCTTACTAGATGGATCTACAGTGTACTTTTCTACTGTATATCTTCTGTCTCAGCCATGGATTGAGTACTTTTAAAACTAGAAGAAACGTTGCTATTTTGAACTGCCCTTTCTGTGGCCTGTAGATGGGACCACGTACTCTGACAAGATAACGATAGCAATAGCAGAATAGAGTAGAGTAGAGTAGAGTAGAGTAGAGTAGAGTAGAGTAGAGTAGAGTAGAGTAGAGTAGAGTAGAGTAGAGTAGAATAGAGTAGAGTAGAGTAGAGTAGAATAGAATGAGCTGGAAGAGACCTTGGAAGTCTTCTACTCCAGGCCCCTACTCAAACAGGAGAACCCACACTATTTCAGATAAGTGACTGTCTAGGCTTTTCTTAAAAATATCCGGTGATGGAGCGCCCATGATTTCTGAAGGCAAGCTGTTCCACTGGTTAATTGTCCTCACTGTTAGGAAGTTTCTCTTAATTCCAAGTTGCTTCTCTCTTTGATTAGTTTCCAACCATTGTTTCTTGTCCTGCCCTCCGGTACTTTGGAGAATAATTTGACCCACTCTTCTTTGTGGCAGCCCTTCAAATACTGGAATACTGCTATCATGTCATCCCTAATTCTTCTTTTCTTTAGACTAGCCAAACCCAAATCCTGCAGCCGTTCGTCATATGTTTTAGTCTTAGACTGATATACTACTCCATAGTGCTTTAGGACAGTTTCCAATGTCAGCATTATTTGCATATTGCATACTGCCCCCAACAATCTGGGTTCTCATTTTACCAACCTCTGAATGATGGAAGGCTGAGTCAACCTTGAGCTCATCAGAATCGAACTGCTGACATATTATTTGCAATAGCTGATAAAAGAATCATTGGTGATTGGAATAAGAGAATTTAAGGTAATAACTGGGGATGGTATTATGTTATATGAATTTAAATTTATGGGTTCAAATTTTAAGGAGGGAAAAATAAAAAAAAACTTTATTAAAAAAAAAGAAAGAATCGAACTCCTGACAATGGGCAGACGTAATCTGCAATACTGCATTCTAACCACTCAGTGGAATTGCAATGTCTCAGTAGCCCTCGATTTTCCGGTTGGTATAAGAAGCCATAAAGGATTTCCAATGACTGTATCAGTTGGGGCATCTTAAGAGGATCCATATTCATTTACTTATTTATGAATCAAATTTACATAGCTGCCCATCTTCTCCCAAAGAGGACTCTGGTGGTGCACAACAAATATTTGTTGTTTTATTCAATTGTGC